CTGGCCTTCACCCTACACAGCCTTTGGAAACTGTCCGCCCAAGTCTGTGGATAGCAGCACTACCACATCTCATTCTAGCACAGGCTGGGCATGAGGAACCAAAAGAGGAAAACAGAGGAAACCCTGAGACCTTCACAGTGAAGTAAATAAAGCAGCTGCGTCTTTTAGCTGTTCTTCTGCTCTTCATTTTGTAAAAGAGAAAAATCCCCTATCTATTAGCCCTCAGCTTTTCATAACATAAGCAATAGAGTCACTAAAGGTCACTTCCTGGCCTTATAAATCTGGTAAGTATGAAGACCCAAAGGTCTGTCACATAAACATGGTGGAGGGAGATACAGAACAGGTGAAAAACACAGGTGTTGCTGTACAGTACTATTTGTGCTACACAATAACCTGGGCCATCAGCACCTATTCTTTATTCCTTCACACAGAAGCAGCCTTCAGGGTACATGCCATCATGTACCCTGAATAAAAAGATGGGAGTACAACATGCTCTAAGTGATAGGACACTTTCTTCACATGCATAAGGTTCTGGGTTCAATACTTAGCACTAGGGGGCAGATGCTTGTGCCACTGAACTATAGCACTGGCCCTCAACAGCCCCTCCAAATTAAGTAGGAGCATAACCAGAGAAAAAGCAATGAGGAATGATCCACAAATGTCCGAATGTTGTTATTTCTTGGGCAATACTCTACTGATAGGTAGTTTTGGCTGTTTGATAAGAATACACAATAAGATAAATCTAGAAAGTAGCAACTCAAGAAGAAAAAAAAAAAGCCTATGCCTAGTGAATTTTAGCCATTCATTATATGGTTTACAGGTCTGAAAAAAGAAATCCAGACTAATTCAAAATTCTGGAAAATACTTTCTCATGCAGTGTACTTATAATACTAGAGGTATATGACTATGATGTAGATTTTCCATTTCTCAGTGTAGAAGAGCTCTTACTTTTAGACCAAATAATCCCCTAAATACTATGTTATCACCTGTCTCCGCTTCACGATAAGCTACTCAAACCCTGTCTGGAAATTGTGTGTAAAGAGTGGTGTAAAATTATTTATGATTTAAAAATACCTATGGTATGCTAATCATATGAATGTGTAAGCATGTAACCAATATATATTTAAATGAGATAACCCTTCAAACTATAATATCAGAAAGCGATGGGCCGAGGATATAGATCAGCAACATAAGCACTTGCCTGGCAAGGGCAGGGTCCTAAGTTCAATCCCAAAAAAAAAAAAAAAAAAAAAAAGTGACATAATACAACAAACCAGATTTTCCCCACTAAACCACACAGTATTTGTCTCATTAATACATTCATTTCTTTCCAGAGATATAAAACTTTAATTGCAAAACTGTCACAGCCAATCGAAAGAAATCACCTTGTTTCCAAAATAATGTTAACTTCTCCTTATTGTTAATAGTAGCAGTACAGTAAGATAAAGCACTGCTATCTTGAAATAGTTTGTACAACAAAAGCATTGTGAGAAAGTCTTCCAGCAAAACGGATGGCAGCTATTCAAAAGATCCATTAAAATTTATCATTAGTAATTTAAAATCACACCTTATCAAAAATTTATTTAATGTTTGCCTGCGTTAGCACTTTAGGATGAGAACTAAACTCCAGAGTAAGCACAACGTCTTCTGAGTGCAGCTGACCAGGGACGCAGTCAGAGCCCACAGTCAGAGGCTCGCTAACCCTGCAGAAGGCATCTACTGTGTTCTGTGGATCTCTGTCCGTGATCAAAATATCGAATATTTTTCATCTCTACTGGACGTCTTTGAAGAGTACTACATTGTGTCACATCCTCCTTTCATTGTAACACAATGTATTAAACAAAAAAAAAAAAAACCTGTCAGTTAGGTTGGAAAGCAGCTGAGAAAATCCTGGCTGCTCTAGGCTTTAATCAGAGGACTTGTGTGGGAGCTTTGAACTCTTAATATCAGAAACCCCAATAACTTATCATAAAAATACAAGCTCTTGATTTTGAAAAAATATACAAAAGGCATTGCATAGGTAAATATTTCTTGATTGTCAAGGAAGACAAGGTATCAGTCTGAATCACAGGTTCCTGTTGTGCTGTATTTTAGGACTGTTTGTTTTTATAGTTTCCATTTTTTACAGTTTTGGGAGGCCTCTGACCCTTGGTATAAGCACAGTACCAAAAATGAAGAAAAAGGAGCAAAAATATGCACCCATAGGACATAATAATGTACATAAAGACTGGATACTGGTATTTGCAATCCTCCATGAGAAATATATGGCCCATGTGGATGGTGACAATGACAAACTGGACCTAAAAATAAGAGTGAAAACATTATTTAGGTCTGAGGAGTTTTCATTCATTCATTCATTCATTCATTCATTCATTCATTCATTCATTTTTTGCAGTGTTGAGCATCAAACCTGGGGCCTCATGTGTGCTAGTTCAGTAGTCTACCATTGAGGTACAGTTTCTGCTCTGACAGCTAACAATTCTTTTCCTATTTGTATTCACATACTCTTCACCTGTATCTCGGCTAACCTTTAAATTAGCCTCTCAGGAATGAAAACAGACACTATCATGTCAAAAATCCAGACAGGGGTTTGAAAGCTCTATTTACTTCTGCCAAATTGCACTTCTCCTGGGGTCCTATGGAAGTGGGCTTGCAATGCACAATCAACTGACTACTTAGAGAACCTCCACGAAGGTTGCACTGGCAGCATCTGACTTGTATCATTACCTAGGATGAAATACATGCAGCACTACTCGCTGTAGTCCAAGTTTCCCGGATGGTTTTCATTTCAACTTTTCAGTCAATACTTCAATTTTTGGAAAATAAAAACATTTATATTAGAGCCCTTATCATTTTACAGGAGCCCAAGGACCCCTGGTTCTTCCTATCTGCTTCACGCCCTCCACCATCAGATAAAAAGCAGTCATATCTGCTCAGTCAAGAGCAAAGGCAGGGCTGAGGATATAATGCAGGGGTAGAGCGCTTGCCTTGCATTTGCAAGGACTTGGGTTCAATTTCTGGAACCATACACACACACACACACACA